ATCTATCTATCTATCTATCTATCTATCTATCATCTATTGAGACAGGACTTTCAATGAATTTGGAGCTTAGCAGTTCGGCTAGGCTGGTGAGCCAGTGAGCACAAGGACCCTCTGCCTGTTTCCCCAGAGCAGGATTACAGGCTCACACCACTGTTTGAAGCTTTTTAGGACTCAGAGGGTACAAGCCCAGGCTCTCATGATTGTTTGGCAAACACTTCACCAACCGAGCCTTCTTCTCAACCCTTAATTCCATTTCTTTCTTTTTTCTTTTTACTCATTTTTGGGTTGGGGTAGGGGATTGGCTGGTTGATTGCATTTTTGTTTGTTTATTTTTGTTTATCTTTTGAGACTTGGCTCCCATATCCCAAGCTAGCCTCAAACTTACTACAGTCAGAGGCTGACCTTAAACTCCTGATCCTCCTGTGTGTTACCATGCCCGGCTTTGATTTTAGTTTTTTGTGATAGTCTTGCTGGTAGCCAGGCTGGCCTTGAACTCAATCCCACCTTTGAGTGCTAGGAGTAGAGGAGGACATGGTCACTCTCGTCCTTCTTGTTACTGTTTGGTTAATTACACCTATGGCTGCTTTTCTGTTTCTACTGAACAGGGCTGGTGGGCCAATCATTTCCAAAACCACATAAATACCCCCAGACATTCAGCACTGTATCCCTTTTTGGTTTTTCAAGACAGGGTTTCTCTGTGTAGCTTTGGTGCCTGTCCTGGAACTCGCTCTGTAGACGAGGCTGGCCTTGTTTAGATAAGGCTGGCCTCGAACTCACAGAGATCTGCCTGCCTCTGCCTCCCAAATGCTCGGACTAAAAGAGTGCACCACCACTGCCCAGCTAGCACAGTATTTCTTAAGTCTCTAAAGCCGTTCTATTTTCAGACTAGTATTCAGCCACCTGACATGTTTGCCACCTCTCTCCCTTTCTCGGTACATGCTCACTGGAGTCCCAGACTGGCACACTCTCCATTACCCTTGACTGGCACGTTCTCTCTCCTTAGCCCTCCAATGCATCTCCTGAGATGAGCCTTCCTAGACCCCTCGGATCTAAACAGGCCACTCTCTCCGCCCCCACGGAGGTGTCACCTCACACTCTGCCCTGTGGAGAGACTTAGAGACTTCAGTTGATCCCCCTAGCCTGTCCTCTGCCTGAGATTGTGTCCAATCTTCGGCTACCCAGACCTGAGGTCTGGCTAGGAGAGCTCACAGGGCAAAGCCCAAGTCCAAGCTGGAGATGATAGTGCACCAGCGAGCCAAGTGGGGGACCTCACCAGGATGTCTCAGCTACCGCACAAAGGTGTGGAGCGAGATGCTCGGCTGTCTTCCTCCTGACCCTTGAACACCCCTTTCCTGCAGAGACATCCTGAAGCCTGCTTGCCATCCTAGAGGCCAGCACCCTTCCGTATCCACAGCGAGAAGCCTCATCCCAGCTGGTCCCTGCTGTGCTCAGTCACTCTCAGTTGCCCGGGTTACTGGCTCATACTCTCTCTACTCTCAAACCCCTGAGCTCAAGGTCTCACTTCACCAACACCCTCAACATCATCCAACCCTACTAACCACGCTCTGCTGCCTGCCACTCTCTCAGGACCCACCCCAGGTTCTAATAACACCAGAGGGTGAAGCCGCAGGGTTCTTCAGTCCCTTTACTTTCCAGTCTACACAAGTTGAGTGACTGTCAATGGCACAGAGCGCCCTGGACCCTCGGTTACCCTCCCTGCTAAAGTGAGGGCACTGGCTCTGCCCCTTCACCTCTCTTTGGGGCTAATGCGGAGATTCTGGGAATACAGAAGAAAGGACAAGGAAGGAGGAGCCCTGTGTAGGGCCCCTGGCCCTGAGACATCTCCTCAACAGGAACCAGTTCTCTGTTGCACCTACTCCATTCTTGCTGAAGCAGGACAGCCATGAGGGACCTCATTCAGGTCTCCATTCTTCTCAATCCTGCAAAACTTCTAAGACTACCAAGTCTTTCTTAGCCTCCATACCACAGACTGAGATTTCATGCAAAGTCTTCCTAGAGTTCAAGACGACTAAAGTTTCAGGCCTGGGAGGACCACAGAGCACCCATTCCTACATCTCATTCTGAACGTTCATGGTTTTTTGGTTTTGTTTCTGTTTTTGTTGTCTTTGGGACAGGCCTTGCCGCGCAGCCCACACTGGTTCTGAGCTCATATTCCTGTCTCAGCCTGCCAAGTACTAGGATCACAGGCATGCACCACTACATCCCAACTGCTGCGTGCTGTCCTCTGATCCCCACGTGTATGCCATGTCACTGGTGCACCCGCACCCATAAATAAATAAATGTTTTAAAATCAGTATCCCCAGAGCAACCACCATCCTCAGTAAACAGCTGATTAACCAACCTTCAAGGACACCAGACCCCTTATAACCTACTGTGTGCCTGGCTGAGAGGCCAAAAAGCTTCTTCTGGTCAAAGACAGTTAACCATTTAACTCTCTAGCACCATGGCCTCCCGCCATCAGAATATGTCTGTTGAGAAACATTAAACTAGATTTTTTTTTTTTGCTTTCTCCAAAAATCTCTGCCTGCTTTTTCAGCTGCAAAGGAACATCCAATAACCCACCCCTTCACTGTGATCAAACAGAGCCAGGCACCAGCTTGATACATCTGCTTAGAGTCCGTGTGACACTTAGAAAAAGATGACACCATCAACTCCATAAACCAACAGAGATGGCAGGCCCACTGCCTCCCGCAGCAAGCTGGCACAGCAACCCACTGAGTTAAACACGTCTGACATCTGTTCCGAAGTATGGGAGCAAGGGAAGGAGATGAAGCTGACTTCGAGAACCATGAATCATGCCAACTTGGACTACCACTGCACACGGAGGCCAGCTCCAATGCCTGGGGCATAGAGACCCCAGGCCAACCCACCACTGGGCTCACTAAATTGTCTAGGTGCAGATGTTAAGTGATTAGGCATGTATTCATGACAACATGCATCCCTTACATGATGCTGAGGAAGAAATGTGCCAGCAGATAGACAAATGAACCAAAGTTCCTGTCGTTCTGTTCTCCAGCCCCAGACCACAGCCTGCATGCACGCACGCGCGTATACACACAGACACACACACACACACACACACACACACACACATATACACACACACACACATTTTCTGACTAAGGTTTTATAGGCTCCCAAGGGGTCTTTTAGTGGAAGGAGACCAGATTACGGCAGCCTGTGCCCTACACAGAGGTGGCCAGCTCCAATAGCCCAGGTAGCACAGGAGAAGGCTGTCATCTCTGTAATTCCCAGGAGGCCCCGATGCTCCTTTATCTCAGGTGCAAGGGCAAAAAGGGGATAGTGTATTTCCCTCCACCCTTCATCATCATCTCTCCACAGAGGAGTGTTTCCAGTTCCTGTCCTTTCTCCACACATGTGCCCCTCCCTCCAGAGCAAAGCAGTGGCCGCCCTCCCTAACCCATCGAGGAGACGTTGTCACTGAGCTAAGACCGTCTACACAGCAGCCCTGGGGTCTTCTGTCCTCAGGATCCTCTTAAAAGCAGCGAAGCACAGGCCACAGTGGCTTTTCTCACCCAAGGAGTGAAAATGGGTGGAGACCAGCAAGGAAAGAGTCCCAGACAGGAGCTTGTCTGTCTTCCTTGTCTCAGAGAAAGGATAGAGCCTGGGAACTTGGTCCTCTGCAGGTAAGGGTGTTGAGCTGGCACTTTTGCTCACCCTGCATGCTCTTCGCAGACCCCATTTGGTCCATCCCTGACAGGGATACGTAGCCATCTCTTACCTTCATCCCTCTTGCGCTTGTTGGTGTCGGCACTGGGGGACGTGATGCCCAGGATGCCACTGATGGAGTATGAGGAGCCTGCAGAGTCGGTGCTCACCGACGACACCTGCGTCACCGAGCCTGTAGACACTGCAGAAGGAGAGCGGTGGGGGCCTGTCACAAGGGTGCTCACTAGAAACACTGGGCTGGGTACAACTGCCACAGGCCCAGCAGAAAGGAGTGCAAGCACAGAATAAAAAGGGAATTACTGCCGGGTGGTGGTGGCACACGCCTTTAATCCCAGCACTCAGGAGGCAGAGGCAGGCGGATCTCTGTGAGTTCGAGCCCAGCCTGGGCTACAAGAGCAAGTTCCAGAATAGGCTCCAAAGCTAGAGAAACCCTGCCTTGAAAAACCAAATAAATAAATAAATAAATAAATAAATAAATAAATAAATAAATAAATGGAATTGCTAAGATCTCCGCCAGTCCAAGGGTGCAGGAGACAGGAGGGCATGGGAAAAGGGCAGCCGGTGCCACCTCCAATGCCAGGAAAAGACCTAGATGCACACTTGAATCACATTCATCTCTGCTTACATTCTAGCCATGCCTGTATACAGATATTCTCTCTCTCTCTCACTCTCTCTCTCTTACAGACACACACACACACACACACACACACACACACAGAAAGAGAGAGTAAATAACGTGTAATAAAAGAACACTCTCCACCGTGAAATATAGAGAAAGACAACGTGTCCCCCTCCCACTGCCACCCTGCTTTTCACTTGGCTGTTGCAGCAGCCCAGGGTGCTACTGATTGTTTTACTATTTGCCAAATGAGGGAAGTTAGTTTCATAAAGTGAAGAGCTTCAAAGTAATCTAGCTACGCAGCACTCATAACTCTCCTCAGGTCTAAATTTTCCCTACCTAGAAGGGGAAACAGAGGTGGTGACTTACTGTAGCCAGGGCCAGGTCTCTAAGTCCCAAAGGAAAAAAGAGGAGGGGACTTAAGCAAGTTTCACAATAACTAGAGTCCAGGGGACCTATGAAGGTCCTCTCTAGCTATATGGCTGGATTTCCACTTATGAGATGTAGGGGTTCTTCCTCTCGTTATCAAGACTAGTAGGCGGCTCTCACACACCTCTCCATGAGCCGTCAGCAGGGAGCAGATGGAGCCTTTTCTCTGCAGAGCAGGGCATAGGTGGAGGAATAAGCCACATTTCCTTGGAGCAGAGGCAGCCTCTGGCTCTAGAGACCTACAGGGTACAGGGCCTTTCTGTTCACATTCGAGCTTGAGTTTAGATCTCCCTTAAGAAACACCAATGCAGAAATTGCTAACTTCCCTTTCCCTTCACCAGAAAAAAAAAAAGGCTCCTCAAAATAGATTTATGCAAATCCCATGACCTCTCTGTATTGAGGTGCAAAGAACAATGGAATAAAGAGACCACTTGGCACGTCAACAGCCACACACAGAAAACAGGCTCGGCTGTGTCCCTGGCAGAGCTGATGACACTTGGTTACGTATTTTGCAATCACACTGGGCACAGAGGACTCACGTTCCAGTTCTGGCTTCACACAGGACTTTAGAGTAGTCACTGAACCTGTGAGCTCCAACTGTCGACACTCAACAAGTCTGTAAACTATATGAGGCTGTATACGTGTGAGATAAGGTTTTCACAGAAATTTCTGGGGTAAAACAAATCACTCTGTTGAATTACTGGAGAATTATTCCTGTAATGCTACTGAAGGATAGTTTGATTCTTTTTCATGCTATGTGCCCTGAAACAGTTAAAGCCACAAGTGACATCTCAGCAACAAACACCCCCTCACCACACCCAGGAAACCCTTCTCAGCCCTGTCTTTCCATCCAGCAGAGAGATGGCCCCTTCCTGCTACTCATGTAGACCTGTCTCCTGGGCTTTGGTGTTTTGTTGGTTTTTCATTTGATTTTTTTGTTTGCTTGTTTGTTTGTTTGTTTTGTTTTGTTTTTCAAACTCCCTTCCCACATTCTTCCATGGGATTGGAAGCCTTTGAGGACAGGGACTTTGGTCTGGCATTGCTCTCCAACCCCAGGGTTCTCCTAGCAAGGGCATAATAAAGTCTGTCTAATGGCAGTACAGAATGAAGAATGGTCGTGAGCAGGGAGGACTTCTATCTTACCTTCCTTCAAAGAGCCGCCACCCTTGGTGGAATCAGAAATCTCAGGGAACACCTGGTTTGTGCCCCTCCCCCATACAACAAGGGAGAAACTGATGCTCAGAGGTGAGACACTGATCTAGTTGACTGGGTGAGCTAATGACAGAATTGGAACAGTAAGCCAGGTCTCTGCCAGAAGTTCAGGTTTTTCTTTAAAAAAAGAATGGCCGCGGAGTCTGGAGAGAAGGCTCATTGACTAAGAGCACTTGCTAAGAGAACTTCCAGAGGACCTGAGTTCAGTTTCCAGAACCCATATCAAATAGCTTGACGGCCTTTAACTCCAGCTCCAAAGGATCCATCGCCCTCTTCTGGTCTCCTCAAGGAAGCACACACACACATTGCACATACACACGGATTTATCTGGCAGTGATAAATGTACTGGAATACTGCACAACCTAAGATGCAGTGCTGCAGAATTTTGGGGGTCTGTGGTACCCAAACTGGCAGACATTTGCCGAATAGCCACCTGCTTCCTTACAGTAGAGCGACTTTTCCCCAGCAACCCAGAAGTATTCCCTCGTGCCAAATGGAGACATGACATCAAGAACACGCCTTGATTATGAATGTCATTTTCAACTCCTCTTTGAAGAGCAAGCAAGAAAAAAGTTTAGACCTTGGAGTGTGACAAGTTAGGAGTCCACCCTTATGAATCATGGTCACTTAGACTTCCCCTGTGGTCCTCAGAAACCCCGTAGGCAGCCCTCAACAGTTGGCAGTGTACGAGAGAGTGAAGCGAGAGCAGAGAGGAGAAAAGTTTGGGAAGTTTTGCTACATCTTCACTCAAGACTGCAAGTGCACAAAGAATTGCAGAAGGCTGGTTATAGAAGAAAAAAAAACACATTCAAAACTACTTACTGACTAATGATGCAGAAAATGTTATGAATAAGTATCCCTTTCTTGATTTATTACTTTAATTATCTGACATTCTATAGACCCCCATTAGTGGATTTTTTTTGGCTTAGATTTCAATTTTCTGTCTCATGGTGAAAGCTATTTATCATAATAATCAGTAAAATTCAAAACCTTTTAGCGGTATTTATAAAATTCATTTGCCAGGTTCAGCCCTTGGAGAATGACAAAGAGAGAGCATTAGGACGCGTGTGAAGTGTTTTATGCAGAATTATCTGTCCATAAGAATGATTAAAAGTTCTTTAGAATATTTGGAGCCCATTAGATTTTCAAATTTTTTTTAAAAGTTCTTACCTATGCTGTGACTGGAAGCTGGGACTGGCTGGTTAGGGGGCTGCTGTACTTTTGTCCGGATGATCCTGTAGGCAGTTAGGGGGGAAAGAAAGAAAAACAAATGACTATTTACCATTGAGAAGGAAAGAGAGAGACCCTGAGGCTGGGGAGTGGCTCCCTTGGTAGAGTGCTCACCTAGCATGAGCAAAGCCCTGGGTTCCACCCCCAGCGAGGAACCACACTATGTGTTTGTGTTGGTACCACACGCACAGTCCCAGCACTAGGGAGGAGGCAGAGGGAAGGAAATCAGAAGTTATCCTCAGCTATATAGCAAGTCCAAACCTAGTGTAGCATACATGAGCCCCTATTTTTAAAAAGGAAAAAGAAAAAGAAAACGGAGGGAAAGAGAAACCTTAGCTAGTTATGCCGAGATACAGCAAAGGGGCAGAGCTGGGGTGGGAGATAACAGGCCCAGACTGCAAATTATGAGTTCTGAGGAGTTTTCTCACTGAGTGTCTTTGGGTGACTGGCATCACCCCTGGGCCCTCAGTGCCTCTCTGTTCAGTGTTTTATTGTCTGTGTTTTGGTTTGTTAGGTTTTTCTGAGGCAGAATCTCATGTAACTCAGGCTAGCCTCAAGCCCCCTATCTATCCAAGGCTATCCTTGAAATCCTGATCTTCCTGACTCTCCTAGGTGCTGGGATTACAGGTGTGCACCACCACACCTGGCCGAGTGACTCCTTTTCTGAAGACAGAAGCTGATGTGATATTGGTCCACGTCGGCCGAGCTGGCTCTCAGGTGTCGCTTTAGCCCCACCAGATTCTTCCCCTCAGTAGAGCTCGGCTCCCACATGAAGGACTAAAGAACTGAACCTGTCTGTCCTCTGTCAGGGCTCTCGTGTTGGTTCCTTTGCCCTAAAGACTCCACAAATAAGATTAATACATCCACTAGGGAAATTAACTAGAAAAGATGTGCTTGACAAACTCTGTAGAAAGTTTCCAACTATCAACGTATCACTCCAGCTGTGGTCTCTGAGAGACCGAAGATTCCGGTTCCCTGGCCAGAGCAGCCTTCAGGGCCGCCTGATCAAAGGATGCAAACTGACCACAGAGCACAGAACCCAAGTTTCCATCAGAACTACAAAGGATGGAGTCGCCCCCGCTGCTGCCAAAGATGCAAGAGCAGGTTCAACAGACCGCACAGTTGTAAAACCAAAACTTCATTCAGTTAAAACCAACAAACTTTATAGAAAGGACCCACGCAGCTAGAGCCAGGAGTGTCCCACTTTGCCTTCCCAGAATCCTTGCTGTGCTTCTGACATGAATCTGATCACATCTTGAGTGCATCCATTCGACCGTGGGCCTCAGCACAACCAGGGAGTTCCCATAGGTCGTTCTCCACTTGTTTAAGTAATCAAATACTCTTCATAAAAAATGAAAACTTTGCACAACGGCTCGCTGTATTTAAGCAGTAAAGGCATCAGTGACTTCCCTGTGCCCAGAGTCTAGCAATGTTGATACTCTGCAGGAGCTTGGGGAACCTTGGTGGCAGACTTCCAGCAGGACCCACACATGGGGCCTCCAGGAGACCAGGGCACATAATAAAATGGTGACTTTCTCAAGAAAGGCGCTGTTCCAAACTATTACTTTTTAACAGGACAGTTGGTAGAATTTTACATCATTATCAAAGTACCATGTGTTTATTATAGACTACTGTTTACATGCCTATGTATGTGTGCATGTCTGTGAATAGTGTGTGGGTATGTGTAAAAGCCAAAAGACAACCTCAGATGTTGTTACTGGGCTAGGTCGGTGGCTCCAGAGATCTGCCTGTGTCTGGTACAATAGAGCTGGGAATATAAGTGTGTGTGTGTGTGTGTGTGTGTGTGTGAGAGAGAGAGAGAGAGAGAGAGAGAGAGAGAGAGAGAGAGAGTAAAACGATAGATAGATAGACAGACAGAGGACAATTTTCTGGAGTCTGTCCTGTCCTTCACCATATGTGCTCCAAGGATCAAACAATCCTCAGGTTGGCAGCAAGCACCATTGCTGGCTGAGCCATTTCACAGAACTCTACCCAGCTTTTGTAAATGTGGATTCCAAGGAATCAAACTCAGATCCCTGTTTGCGCAGGGCAAGTCCTGTGCCTGCTGAGCCATCTCCCCAGCCACATGCAGACTATGTAGATGACATGGGGACATATAAAGACCATCTCTATCAGACATGGTGCTGCATGCCTGTAATCCCAGCACTGAGACACAAGACTGAAATTTTGAGGCCAGCCTGAATTGAGACCCCTATCTCAAAAAAAAAAAAAAAAACAACGGGGAAAAATTACTGACATTGGATACGTTATTATGCCCACATTCCTGCTGTGAAGACACCATTTCCCACCAACAAATCAGAACCAAGCTGTGCACAGTTTCATGTCTTGCACTTTTCACATGGCATTACACCAGGAACTTGTCACATGCCAAACCATTGCACCTGAATGCTCATTTTGAGGCTGCCCCGGGTTTCCAGCTTCTGCTCGGAGTGGCAGGTGCCTCCCGTTAACCTCACTGGATGGCCAGCTCTGCCCGGCCTGACCTTACAGCTTGGCATAGGCACCCAGGGCACTTGGCATCATTAGCTGTTATCTTGGAATAGACTTGTTCATTCGATGCTATAAGTCTAATCGTAGAGCATTTGCATCTTGGCCACCTCAGTGAAGTCGTCTGCCCTTTTCTGGTGAGTCAGCTCAAACACCTCCTCAAATGCAGCAAACATGTGCACACATCTTTTTGTCTGTCACAATATTTAAAGTAGTTGTTTCCACTCAGCAAACACAGAATAAACAGAAGAAAGACCTGGAAGCAAGGTACTTTCCTTGACCTCTTGAATTATGCTGCTACCCAACTTAGTTGAGTTTTTATTTTTTTAAGATCACATTGTGTGTGTGTGTGTGTGTGTGTGTGTGTGTGTGTGCGTGTGTGTGCGCGTGTGTGCGTGCACGGCGGCGCATGCACCTCAGAACAATTTGCAGGAGTCGCTGCCTTCCACCTTGTGGGTCGAAGGGATCAAACTCAGGTTGTCAGACTCGGTGACAAGTCACTACCTGCTGAGCCATCCTGCCAGCCTTGATCTAATTTTTCTGTGTGTGTCTACAAAGATGCAGCAGATGAGTGAGTATTTAGATTGCTGGATATATGTTCTATTTCCTACCGAAGTCCAACATAAATCCCTGCCTTCTTATGAAATTTGTCTAGAAACAAAGCAACGTACATATTTTCACATTTCTTTTCAAATACCTATAAACCACTGGGAAAGCATTATGAAAGGCCATAAACCATTAACAGGCCTCTGCAGCACAGGGAGGAAGCAAACAGACCCCAGAACCAAAGTACTGGTGTTCAAATCCAGCCTTCAGTTTCTCATCTCCATGACCTGGAGGTTGCTCCTCTGAAAAATGGGAACAAGAATCACTTCTACACCATGGAATTATTATTATTAGGGCTGAATTAATAAACTATTGAGATGTGGCCGATCCACATCAAATGTCCAATAAATGTCACATGTCACCATTTTCATTACTGTCTTCATAATGACGAACGAGCAGCTTCAACTTTAAAACATTCAGATGCTTCCCGTTTGCCTAAGGCACATGGAGCAAGTGTGATAACTCACCCAGAAGGCTGAGGCAGGAGGATTCTGAGCTCAAGGCCAGCCTGGGTTTCATAGTGAGACCATATCTAAACGAACAAGACCCATCCTATACTGCTAAGCATAAGCATGTCCCAGGATAACACAATGTTAACAGACTGATACAGATGAGGAGGCTAAAGTCCAGCATGCTCCAGTGATCTGGCCAGGGTCACCCAGCACAGGGCAGTCCAGACTCCTAGCCCCCAGACCTGAGCTACATTTGGAGGAAGCAATCCCTCTGCTAACCACATCCTGTATGAGACATAGAAACTATTTGGACTCAGAATCCCTTTTTCAGAATCTAAGGAATTTTTACATTATAAGCATTTAAGGATTCCATTTCAGCATCCTTCCACCCTTTTGAAAAACTAAGTCCCCCTGACCACATCTGCCATCATCTCTCACACAATTTTACTGGAAGAGATCTTGCAGTGAATTGGAAAAGGTGAGATGGGGGCTGGGATGTAGCTGGATGTTACGGTTCATGCCTAGCACACACGTACACAGTGCTGCCTTCAGGCTCCAGGACCACCTGAGTTGGGTGTGATCCCAGTAAGCTGAGGTAAAGGTAGAAGGGCCAGAAACTCAAGATCATCTTTGGATACATAGCAAGTTGAAGGCCAGTGTAGGTTATATGAAACTCTGTCTCAAAAGAGGGGTAAGGGGCTGAGGGGACAGCTCAGCTATTGGATTATTTGCCATGCAAACATGAGGACCAGAGTTCAGAACCCAGAGAGACTCGTGTGAATGCAGGGTGGCCCGTCCACAACTCCAGCCTTAGAAGGTAGAGAACAAAGGATGACCATTCCAAGATGGTTACTGAGACTATCACTAGCAAGCTTTGGCTTCAACCGCGAGACCCTGCCTTAGTCAATAAGGTAGAAAACTGAGGATGATTCCTGATATCAAACTCCAACTTCTACATGCACATACATACACCACACACACACACATACACACATATTGCTAAAGATGAGAGAGAAAACCACTGAAGGGACTCCAGCCAGCCGTGGGGTGTCTTATGCCAAATACTGGTCCCTTCAATCACACTGCTAAAGCTACCGTCAACACTGAGAGATGCACGGGCCATCAGCTACACTGAAAATCCAAAAGTCTGGGACTAAGATGGGTGTATCCACAGTCGCACTGAAGCCTGCCACCGGCATGAAGAAGGAAGAAGGGGATTGAGGGACCGTCTCAGAAGACTTGCTGCCAAAGTTGAGGTTAAAAAGTAGAAGTAAGGCTGGCATGGGGGCACATGCCTGCAATCCCAGCACTCAGGAGGCCGAGGCAGGTGTATCAGCAGTCACAGACCTGTCTGGACCACAGAGTGAGCCCCTGCCTCCAACAAACAAAACAAAAATAAATAAAGTAGTTAACCAACTACCACTCAGCAGGCTGCCTCCAGCTCCTGCAGATTATTTTATTGTTGTTTATCGAATAAATAATAAGTATGTGTAAGCTTTAAGATTTTCCATAGAAACCTGACCTGAACCAGTAATGCTGGCTGGCCCCACTTTCCCACAAGCATGCAACCAGTTGGTGCTAAACAGAGCTGGTCTCCCTCACCGGGAATGCCACTTGTCCCAGCACTAGGCCACTAGTTTAGGAGCCACAGAACTGGGACAGAAAAGGGAGGACTCCACTCCACCCACCATTTCAGTAAGCTCTGAGACGGCCCCCTCCAGCTGACACCCTGCCTGGACTACAGAACTCTCCAGTGCAGCTGCCCAGCATCCCAACGAGCAAGGACTCCCAGAAAGTCCCCCCTAGCCTGGTAGACGTGCTTCAGTGATATCTGGCTCCACATCAGCCCTGTTTCCAGATGTAGTTCCTCAAGACAGTAGGATGGTACCTGCCTCCAGGGGTGAGCGGTAGCAAAGACGCTGTGGCCCCTAGAATAACTATAAATGCAGATATCACCTCTCTGGCTGTTTAAAATAGAGGAATAGTGAGACACCGCCTTGGTGGGAGCATGGCTAGGAGAGAGCTATAGACTCTCTTTCTTTTGACCCTTGCAAGCTGCTTATCTGAAGGTGCATAATTCTCAATGCAAAGGGCTCTGCCTTCCTATAAAAAATAAAAGCAGTTCTGCAGCGGAAGGCACAGGCTTTCCAGTGAGACTGGGGTCAGAGGGTGTACTGGTAAGAGACTGCATCACATTTGGGGCACTCTCACTGAAGGTGCAGTGAGAAGCCCCCGAGAGAAACACTGCAAAGAGGTATGGATTCCAGGGACCGGCAGTCAGCAAAGCATACCGTGATGCCCTGAAATAGTGAAAGAATGGGGGCGTCTTCTCCTGGCCTCCTTCCCACAGGCCTCATCTTATTGGCTCTACTCTGGTCTCCATCTCAATCACCTTTCCCCTGACCTTCCCATCAGGGCCTCAGCGCTACACCTGCCACAGAACAACAGCTCTGAGGGCTGTGGGAGACCACAGATAGAGAGGCCATGTGGGGACACAATAACTGGCCACATGTGTGGACTAAGATACCCAGGAAGTCCCAGAATCTAGCCATGGCCCACCACCAGCATCAGAACCTCTGTGCCAGGCATTCCTGGGTCACTCATTCAAGTCAACCCTCCAGGACCTTTGCCACATCTGTAACTACTTCTAGCTTTGCTTTACATGTCTCTGTGAAATGATTTATTTTGGACTTAAATGTAGTTTTAAATTATACTTGTTTATTTATTTCCATTAGGTGACAGTGCATATAGAGATCACAGACCAACACCAGGAGTTAGTTCTCTCCTCAGGCATGGCACCAAACGCCTTTCACTGAGCCATCTTGCTGTCCCTCAGATGGATCATATAAGGCTACCAGACCTCCCTACTGTAAGAAGCTAGGAGAACGCTCTCAGTGTTCGAAAATTCACGGGTGTGGTATGGCACTTAGATTTTCCTAAATCGTGTGACAAATAATTCCACTGCATTCCAGAAGATAAAGCTGGAGCTCTGCTATGTGCTACCCTTGAAAGGAACTGCCACCATTTAAAAGTCTAGATGTTTCTCGTGTGCATGCATCCACATCTGCTTGCACACAGAGAGCCGGGTTTCTAGATTCTCTGAGGAATGGAAAGATTCTGGCTCACACTCCCAGCGGCACTCAGCTGACACTCAAGAGTGGCTCCCACCCACAGGGCTGTGCTGTCTCACCTGCCTCAGTCCCTGGAGCCTCTGGAGTCTCACATGTCACCTGCTTCCTTCATTAGCCACCTGCCTGCCCCACCCACAGAGGCAATGAAGTTTGTGACTGCCGTGGGGGGCACCCAGGGTTATTCTGTGGACCATGTCATTGTGTGTGTGCCCTACATTGGGAAACATGTGGGCTCCCTAAATACTGACCAGATGTTTGTGCAAGGTTACCCGACAGAGTGGACCAACTTCTCCACTATCGCCTCTGTTCCTGCCTCTCCATGCTCCAGTGAGCCCCGGCTGGACACTTCCTGCCTTGTAGGGATCTAAGCAGCATGGTGCTTAAACATGGGGACACTGGAACATGTCTAGTATGAGTCCAGCTGCCAATCACATTTTTAAAGCTTAGACCAAAAAAGAGAATGTTAAATAGCTCATTAATCATTTTCATACTGATGGTACACTGAAATACTTTTTCTCTATGCTGGCTTAAGTAAATATAATCACAAATAATTATGTATATTTCTTTTTGGTTTCTTAATATCTACCAGGAAATTTCAAATTGTATCTACTAATAATAGAGTGATGTGTATTAGTAAAATTCACATCTTCCACTAAACTTTCACTGGAAAGGTGGTTTGGATCTCTGATTTGCCAATTCTCTGTTCTGGTAGCAGAATGCTATCATTCTGAAATGCAATTTACTTTTAAAAATAAAAACAATGACCTGAATACCCAGGAAAAAAATCAAGTTTGTTCTGTGTCCTGGAAAACCTGCAAAGAGTCAGGTATGGAGAACTCGCAACTGTAACCTTTCATAACTCAGGGGAAAAAAATAGACTCTACACCCCTCACCCCAGGCCCCCTGGCCTCCTCACTTTCACCTCAGTTCTGGCTGTCTGGGCAAATCTAAAAGGATTGCACCCAATTTCTGACTTCTTCAGCACCTTGCAAGACAGCAGGGCCTCGGTATGGATTTGGTTGATGAATTAGCAGGACTCAAAAAGCCAGCACATCCATCCCATGATGGTGTTGTGCATTTGGGCCCACCGTGCTGCCATCAGGACCAGAGGAGACCTTGGAGACACACCAGTCAGACCTCCTCTTTCTTTCAAGAGTGAGTAATTCTCTGTGCCCAGGCAGGCTTGGCACTAGCCGCAGAAGGGTGTGACTCTGGAGAAGTTGGAATGGTGCAATTCCAGGACGCCTGACTTCTTTTTCTAATGTGGGTTTTAGAGAATGAATGTTTCTGTTCAGCTCCCCACTCTATGCCCGACTGTGAGCTTCTCGATTTAATTGCTTATTTCTTTGGGTTTGTGAGGCAGGATCTCAAGTCTCTCCCTTGAACTCTCCAGGTCACCCAAGGATGACTTGAACTCTATTGTAATTCCAGACGCTGGGATTACAGACCTATACCACTACACCAGGTTTAAAAGGAACTAGGGATGTAACTCCGGGCTTCCTGTATGCAAAACAAGCAGTCTACCAACTGAGCTACACCCATTGCTCCTGCCTATATGTTTACATGGGTCAGAGACGGCACTATCTATAATAGAAAATTACCTTCTCCAGGCGGTGGTACATCTATAAACCCAGCATTCAGGAAGCTGAGACAGGAGGATCATTTCAAGCACATAGCAAGTTCCAGGTCAAGGAGAGATACAGAGTGAGATTCTGCCACATTAAAAAGGAAAGGAAGAGAAAAAGGGGGGAGAGAGGGAGGGAGGGAGGGAGGGAGGGAGGGAGGGAGGGAGGGAGGGAGGAAGGAAGGAAGGAAGGAAGGAAGGAAGGAAGGAAAATTTTCTTCTAGAATGTAATTTTCATTTTATGTAGTATTTTTTATTTTTTGAGCTGGGGGTCTTGCTATGTAGCCCAGACTGGCCTCAAAATCATTGTTTCCCCAGCCTCCAGAGCGCTTGGATTACACAGATGTATTACCACATCTATTCCAAGGCAGAACTTGATTTTTAAAGCTCTGACGGTATCGGGCAATATGCTTTGGGTCAGCCTAAGGGAGAGAGAAGAAAGGACGCCGTGTGAACTCCAGGAAAACGCTATGCCTGGCACCATGGTGGAGCAGGCTTTTGTCTCTCCATGGGCGAGAGCTGAGGGTGCCTGGGAGCTGGCACCTTTTTGACTCTGAAGCATCTGATATCCCTGAAGACCTACACTAAAATCATTAGCAACCCACATTAGAGCCCTGGGCTCTCAGAAAAACACAACACACACACACACACACACACACACACACACACACAAGATTTTGCTGAGATCTCACTTCACTTTGGCAGCGGGGTTAGAACAAGAGCTGTGTGTCCCTAGCCCAAAGGGAACTTTGTTTCCCACACCTTGTACTTCAACCTCTGTCCAAACTGGAGGCTGGACTGTCTGCCTGGGAGCCTCTGGGATGAGTCAGCACTCAGACCTGGAGCCCCTGGCAGGGACAGGGTGCTTCTGAAGGCCTGATCAGGACAGTTTATACTACACTATCGACAGTTCATACTATACGATCTACACAGGCAGGTAGTGACCTGGGTGGTGCCAATCACTCCTGGCTCAGAAAACTCAAGTGGCCTGGGCGTTGGCATAGTGTCCTTTCCCTCAGCTGAGGAGCCTTGTCCCTTTTAGAGAGGAGAAAGGTAACAGAGTCCAGCAAGCACCATTGTTCCCCTCTGGGATCCAACAGCAGACCGCCCTCACCTGTTGATGGAGCTGACGCTGGGCACCGTGTCATTGTCACACACCCGCTCTGCCAGCAGCCGGTCCCTGATCTCCCAGGCAAACATGGTAGGATTTTGGCGTTTATACTCAGCGATTTTTTCCACCACTTTGGGAGTGGCAACCTTTGGTTTGGATCCGCCAATCACCCCCGGCTTGATGCTTCCTGTTTCATAATACCTAGACCCAAGAGAAAGAGGCCACAGTTAGCCATGGGAGCCATGGGAGCCACGGGAGCCACGGGAGCCTGCAAAGTGGATGAACATTTGAAACAAGTGTGATTTAAGATGTGCTAAAAATATAAACGGCAAAGCAGATCTTTAAATGTAGTACTAAAAGCTATTAAATAGCTCGATAATCTTTTAAACTGCATGTCTTAAAAAATTGTATTTTGTGTGCATGCATGTGTGCATGTGTGCATGTGTGTGCCAAGCTCAGAAAGCAACTTTCAGGAGTCAGTTCTCTCCATCCACTGAGGAGTGCCAGGGATCGACACCTAGCCACCATGCTTGACAGCAAGGGCTTTGATCCACTGAGCTATCTGACCAGCCCACTAACCATTTTCATATTGGTCATATGTTGAAATGACAATCTGTACGCATTGGGTTAAATAAAATTCATAATTAAAATAAATCATACTAGTTTCATTTCACTTTTCTACGTAGTCTATGAGAAATTTTCAAATGGCTCACATGACTCATATTACATTTTATAATATAATTATAAAAAACATATATTGGACAATACAACAGCAAGCTACATATTAACAAAATGCTTTCACATTCATCCATCATTTTACAGATTATAAAAATTGCAAGATAGTTTTTCCTCTTCTTCCTCTAAGAGCCCTGAGCACATCCACTGTTTAAGATGAATGAATAAGCGTCTGCACAATGAAGGGAAGTACCCTTCTGTGATAGCGAACATAGCTTTACAGACGTTAGATGCTTTCCCTGGGGTCACAAAGGATTAGGGTACCCAGTCAGGACTCCGGTCAAGCCTCCTAAACTAAAAATTCTCCAGAAAGGTGGTGTAGACCTCCAGTTTGCTGGCTCCCATCCCCAGAACAATGTCCAGAGTTCTCTGAAGACTCTCTATGATTTTTTTCCAAAAGAGAGAAACAATAACCCTGATATAAAATTAAAGAGTGTTGGGTTCCAGCATTAATGGGACATGTGTATTAGAAATCAAATCCCAAGCAATCAAAAAAAACCAACCACGATTCTCGACAGCTCTTCTAGGGGCCTCCCCTGAGGTAAATGGCTGTTTCTAAGGACATTTCCATGCTATCAGCTTTTCTCGTTAACGCAAATAGGATGTCAGGGTTTTACAGCCAAGCCGTGCCAGAGAGAGGGGTGGCACAAAAGCTCATTTGAGGGGAGGAGAAAAAGGGACCTGCTTCTTTTTCTGAATTCTAGCTATCACTGGACACCTCTCTCAGTGTTTGCAGGGGAATTCCTGATTCCCTCTTCCAAAGAAGATTATCTTGAGGTTGAAAGATTTTTAAAAAACATTTTAGAAATTATAAGCTTTAAACCTCGAATATTTATAAGAAGTAAGGTAAGGGTGGCACAGATCTACAATTCTAGTACTTAGGAGGTAGAAACAGGAGGACAAGAAGTTTTCAAGGAGACTTGGCTACATACATGCTGAGAGAGAGAGGAGGAGGAATTGGAGGAAGAAGAAGAAAGGGAAGAGGAAGTGGAGAAGGTGGAGAAGGAAGAGGGGAGGAGGAATAAGGGGGAGGAAAAGAGAAAGAGGAAGAGGAAGAGAATGAAGTGATTCTACTGGATGGATGGAAATGTGTCCTAGAAGCAATGGTGGAACATTTATAGGGTTGCTAAACTCTCAGCTTGGATAAGTTTGTTTAGGGCCAAATATGTGAATATTCTGGAAGTGAAGACATATCTATCTGTCATCAAGAAGAGTGAGTCATTTACAATTTTAAGCATAAAACAAAATCCAACTTATCTTCCTTTTTTATAAAGTTGTTGGAAGCAAAAATGTTCTTAATCACAAAAGGGTTCAACAGATACCCACAAAAAATATTTTTTGATAGAAAGTCATCTAAATTCTAGTACACAGCATCTCTGGAAGACTCTACAGTTCTTTCAACCTCTCTAAAGAAAGTCAATTACTTTCAAACTTATTTATTCTTATTTTACAAGCATTGATGTTTTGTCTGAATGTACGTCTGTGTGAGGGTGTTGGATCCTCTGGAACTGGCCTTACAGACAGTTGTGAACTGCCATGTGGGTACTGGGAATTGAACCCAGGTTCCCTGAAAGAGCAGCCAGTGCTCTTAACCTCTGCGCCATCTCTCCAGCTGAGAAAGCCAATTATGTACTATCACATAACAACTCCTTATTTTGGTATAACACTCTTGAGTATGGAGTTCTTCAAATTACCATGGTCCTCACACATCTTTTGAAGTCATCAGGATTTTACAAAAGATAAAATAAATGATTGGAAGACTAAGGGACTTGCCCAACTCCTCTAGTCACAGAGACAGCCCAGATTTCAAACCAGACTTTGAGTCCAATACTCTTCGCATTACCACAAGTTTCTGCTTTGATTATAACATTTTAAGCATTAGTAGTCGCAATCCTTACAATGACAGAGAGATTTACTATTTGCAGGGTTTTTTCCTCAAGCATCCTCCACTCATTCCATGAACCAATAATTACTAGGTCCTCTTAGGGCAAGGACAGTCTCGGCATAGGACTTACATATACGTAGACCACACTGTGTTCGCAGAATACATGAATCCAAAAGAACCACAGTGGCCAAGCAGAAATTCACCAGGAAGCAGAATAAAGTCCCCTGCTTACGTGGCTGGTCTGTGACAGCCCAGGGCTCCCTGCCCAGCCTGCTTGAGCAGTGCCAACTGTGGAATTCCGCAGTCTTGACACTCAAGGTCTCTGTCTTGCATTTGACTGACACGTGGGCTAGGCTCTTAGAAGGCAACACAGACACTCCTGAAACCCCAACTCAAGACTGCGTCAAGTGAGGATTCAGACTTAACAACCATCCTTTCATCTCAGCAGAACAGCCGTGCAGCCCTTTGGCTTACAGACAAAAGATGAACAGCAGCCACCAACCCAGTGCCCCTCGGTGCAAAGAGCTGCAAAGAGCCTTAGGTTGGGAGTGGAGAAGTGCCATGGCTGTAGTGATTCTGACACCAACTGGCTGTGTGATCTTGACCCTCAGCCTTCCTCGGCCTCAGTTAGGGAGGCTATTGGCCGAGATTCCTTTGCACAGCTATTAGGATAACAAGAATTCAGAATGGCCCTGAAGACTTTGGGGGCAAAAAAAAAAAAAAAAAAAAAAAGGACAGAGAGAGAGAATTTGCATAAAGTAGAGTGCATGGATGGGGATTAAAATCCTCACTGTTTTATTTTTAGCGAGTGACATGCCACCAAAGTTCAAATGACCAGGCATTCACAATGAGAGGAGACAGCAGCCCTGCTCTGTGATCTGACTTGGCCTTCATAGGATGCCCAGATCGTCTATAGCCCTGAGTTCTAGACTGAATGTCCACATTCCTGTCAGCCCACATACCTACTTGGAGGAACAGGAACCCTTTCCTGTTCCCAAGGACTTTTTCTGCCTTGCTCCACAGCCACCACACACCACGCACTCTATAACCTGTCACCCCGTGAGCACCCATCAAACTCTTCTAGGGGGTGGGGGCAATCCGCGGGTCAAACAGGCCAAGTTCAGAAATTCCCAGTCGCACTGTTTTAGGACTGAACTTGTTTCTTAAAAGGCAGTTCTAATTAGAGTGACATTTTGTCCACTGTGGTTCTTAGTTATGAAAATAATGAGCTATGAAATTCCAATTTATTGTTGACAACTTAAACGGCCAGGCACCGGAGCGGCGCATAACTTCCGAGTGCCACTCTGCCCAGTGACAAATCTATTCTGGTCCACGGGAGTCTGCTGACCTGACTTTAGAAGAATCCCTGTCCACCTCAGTCTCCATGGGAGATATAGAGAGCTTTGGGGCTCTAGAACATGAGACCCAGTCATTTGGATGTCTGAGAAAGGCTCTCAGCAGCTAGAAATGCTCAAACAGTGAACAAAATGTCAGCTCAGTAAAAAATATCTCAGGAAAAACAAAGGAAGGGCCTCCCCTCTCTCTCCCCTTTCACCCCCCACAAAGAAGCATCTTGCAAAGACGGTAGGGACCATTCAGCTCCAAAAGTGAGACTGGAGACTTCTAAAAAGCTTCCTCTCACCCTCTTTTCTTTTACATTTCCTATTCTTTCTTCCCTTTGTCTTCTCTCTTCCTTCCATCTCCCTGAATGCTACTTCCTTTAGCTGCACCCTCTTTCATCTTCCCCTAACCCACCATCTAACATGGCACCAGGCTTGATTTCCTATGCTCCTTTCTGAACTCAGGCCGGGACTCATTTGCTGGCTGAGTGTTTAACAGAAGTGGACTGAGTCCACGTCCTCCATGGCTGATATGACCCACGCTGGGCAGGAAGATGACGAATAAGCATAGGGGTATGTGGCTCTGATAGAACTGCCAGATTCCTGTCCCTGAGACGTCTTCCTCTGGGCTTTATCAAGATCCCCTATGTGGTTATTACTACTATTATGAACAGTGTTAACACTGTTGGAACAATTTTTAAATTCCAGCAGACAGAACAGAAAGTCATGACGTCACTGAGAAAACTTGGAAAATACTTCAAAATGCTCATGACTGTCAGTCAGGGGTGAATTGTTGAACCATAATGCAAGCTCAGGACAAAGATGAGGATCACTGACCCCAGGAGGAAAAATGGCAAGAAAGCCCTGAAGAGCTAACCTGAGAATGTGCCTGTCTGCCCGGGAAGATCTAGAACAATGTCATATGCCCAGGACATTAAAAAAACAAAAACAAGCAAACAACAACAACAACAAAACAACTACCAATATGTTTTGGGGTTACGGGGAGAGACAGAGTTCCAGAGTCATTTAGGCCCCCATCCAGCCCAAGTGCTAACTCGGCCAGACATATGCCAGTCAGCCCTAGAAAGGTTTATTTCCTCATCTTGAAATCTTCCTGTATCGTGCTGAGGCTGGCCAAAAAGAAAGGAAGGAAGGAAGGAAGGAAGGAAGGAAGGAAGGAAGGAAGGAAGGAAGGAAGGGGAAGGGAAGGGAAGGGAAGGGAAGGGAAGGGAAGAAAAGAAAAGAAAAGAAAAGAAAAGAAAAGAAAAGAAAAGAAAAATAAACATGAGGCTAACCGTCTGCACAGTCCTTTGAGAGGACTGTCATTGTAAGTATTTTGCTTGCAGCAAATTGCTGGGTCAAGTGGCAACTTTCAAATGTCAGATTTGAGAGTTAGTGTTTGCTGCTGTTTTGTCTAATTTAATGTGTACTTAGGATGCCTGTCACTACAAAAAAAGAAACAAAACGCACAGAAAGAAAACCCTTACAGCAACTTGAGAAGGCTGATAATACAACTGAAGATGATGGCTGGATTTTAAATATTGAGTGCTATTTGAAAACATTTAAAAAGAAAATAGTGAGGGCGGGCAATATAGCCCAGTGGTAGACAATCACTTAGCACACACACAGCCCTGCACCAAAAGAGAAAAAGAAAAATAAGGAAAGAGCAATCAACTATGGTTATATAAAACAATGTATGCCCCCAACCCCAGCCATTCCCTTGACCCCAGGCTCGCCTAAGAGGTTCCGGAGAAATTCCCAAGAGCCTCTGACTTTTGGGTTCCTTAAAATAATCCACCAGACTTTTGAGAAACATATTGCTCCTCCTGACAAAGTCACCCTATCCACATGTCACTGAAAACTGGGTTCCACGGTTTCTTTGATTAGGAGGATCTCAAAAGATGTTGCAAACTCTCAAGTACTGAGTATGGAGAGCAAAACGCTGCCGTGTCTCACTGTCAACACTGGCACCTTGAACAGCTGCCGACTGTCTCTGAGATCTTTCTTAAAGCGTTGAGGGAAGCCTGGAGCCCGTCGTGCCTTTACCTGCCAAGAATTTTGCTGACACAACCATGGCTGACCCGAAGCTGCCTGGAGATGTCGCAGGGCCTGACACCTTGATGGGCAAGTTCCACTATCCTTTGGCGGACTACATCTGGGAGTGGCCGTCCATTCACAAAAACCCCCCCAAGCTGATTCACTCCTCCATGTCCTGAAACAGATCAGAAACAAAGGCAAGGGGGAAGGGTGGTTAGAACCAGTCACATAGTAGAAGGGCCCTTCTCAGCACCCAGAGCCCTCTGGTCACAAATGGCTGGCAGGCTAGATGTCTTGCACCTGGAGTCCAATCATGCAGATGACATGAGGACTCTAGGTTGCTTTTTTAACGCCGGTCTTAGCTTTTGTTCATCTGCAGACAGTCAACGGAGCCACTGGTAGCTCCACACATTGTTTTTTTCTTTTAGTTACTAGCATTTTCCTCTTCATTTGCGGGAATCGGTAAGGGAATGTGTAAAAGAAATCTATATGAAAGGAACACAATTTACTACACAATGCTAAATTTGAGGAAGATCCTGGGGAGAAAATTATATCTTAAGATAATCAGATTTAAAGAGGAAAAGAAAATAGTGGAATTCATTTTCCTTTTAACAAATGTCTTCAAAAGTGAAACAGACTATTCTAAGATCTACATATCGAGGGGGAAAGTGTTTTTGCATCAGCAATCTAATTCAAGAACTGAAGACTTTCTTTTTAATGACCAGCATTTTCAGATCACTGAGACAAAACCTAGCCGCTACCTTAATTTAAAAATAGGAAAGAAAAATTTAAAGCCTTCCTTTAAGATGGTGAGGTTGACGTGCAGGCCTGACCGTTGTACCCTCTCAGAGCACACAAAAGAAATGAGTCACAGGGTCCTCTGCACACGGCACACTCCACTGAACCAGGATTTGTTAGAAAGGTGTGCCCCTGGAATTTTGGGCAAGTTTTGCAATCTGCAAGCAGGTTTGAGTTGGTTAGGAGGAAATAAAGCAACTGAGTACCAAATTTTTATGAGTGCCATGGAATGTATTTTAAGTAAAAGGAGTCAGAAAAAGCCCCCTTTCCACTCTGATGTTCCATACTGGTAATCACCTCCAGCAGAAAGGAAGCAGGACCTGAGTAAACTAAAGAGCCGGTTCAGGAAACCGACCGATACAATGTAGCGTAGTTGGCCCTTATAGCTTTGAAGCCCGCTAACTTGCATTGCTGAAGATTGAAACTGAAGCCAAGTTAGAGAATATCCTGATGCTGTTGACAACTCAGAGGCCAAGGAGGGGAAACCGCCTAGCCTAGGACAGACTGAACTCTAGAAAGGAAGTCAAGGCACCTCCAAGGTCACACACACACACACACACACACACACACACACACACACACATCCACCCTCCAACTTTAAAACAGAGAAACAACACCCACAGTTCGGCTACCACCACCCTATCCCAGTCTTAGACTGATCTCCAAGCAGGCCCATGAACATCTGAAATTGAGGGATAAAACACTCCTAAAACAACCTTTATTCTTAAAAGTATCTAACAAATTCACAAATTGGTTTCCCAAATCTCCAAGTTCAGGCTATTTCCAAGAAAACCACAATTTTAAAAAGGTAATTTATATCACTTAGTTTCAAACTACACTGGATTTTTCTCTGGCTGTCAAAATGTACCTTTAAGGAATTTTGATTGTTCTGAAACATTGCACACAGGAGAAGAAAAAATAGGAAGAGAGAAAAATTTTCCTGAACAGGGTTTTATAGCTAGAGACATAATTGCATAGTTTACCTAAACAGAAAGATTACAGCAACCCTGAGCAAGAGCTTTGTTCTGGGACAGAGATCATCTAAGGGGGGAAAGGGTGAAACAATTTTTCCAGAAGAGGCTAGATCTAAGTAAAACAAAGTATATCCATAATTGGGGTGTGCTCATTGGGAGGACACAGGTCAAGAAAAGGCAGCTAAAAGACTCAGCACACATTTGCTATGATCTTAGGATCCAGGCGTTACAGCCAATCTGCAATTATTGTTTACTAAACCATTAACAATCGAGACTTCCTGCCCAAAACACGGTGGCAGCCTTCAGAGGACTTCAATGCCAAGAGCAGTTCTGTAGGGAGTTTGTAGGTTTGCACCATAAGAAAACAAAAACATAAACAAACAAACACCAAGAGTTTCCTAGAGTCGGGTCTCCCTAATCACAGTAGATTCCCCAAACTACCTCCCTTTGGCCACAAGGAATATTAAGGAATTTGCAGACTCCAAGGCAAGTGCCTACAGCTGACATGGACTAGACATAGGTGAGTCTTACTTTTCTTAACTTTCTGGACAGGCCCCAGAACCTATTGGTCCTCTTGCCTCATTCATGAATCTAGCCAACACAGAGCACTTTATGACAGGCCTCAGGAAAGGTGCTAATCTAAGACTGGTAAGAAAAGAAGTCCAAAGTCTGCGGGAGAGTGGAGGTAGGACAGGGAAAGAGAGGTATGTGCACAGGATATAGATGCTATAGACTCTCTATACTCTCTCTACCATAGAGAGGAGGGCCAAATGAGACAGAAGGCAAAGAAGGGAAGGCTAGATAGGGCACAGAGACTAGATTAGGCAGGCAGAAGGAGTGGGGGAAGGAATGAAAATCTAGACTAACAAATGGAAGAGGATCTCTAGAGGACGGGTCTCTATGGGTGGGGGTTTGTTTCCTCTCCCTCCCTCTCAGGTCTTTCCCCAGCTTTGTATCTCCTCAAAGACTGAAGTCCCAAGTTCTACGGTGGATTCCAGCTAGGTGAGGGCTCATCTGCCAGGAAGGCACAAGGCCAAGACATGAACTCGGCTATCCTTCCTAAGAGGAGCAGAATTTAGTGACTGGCACAGAAACGGATGCAAGCAAGTTAGGTACAAACTGGGAAACACACACATATAGCAAAAGTAAAGACCGGTCCCATCTGGAAGAGCACGGTTTGAAGGCTGATAGAATGATGGAATGGTGGGTGACACTAGGACCTCTGTGTCTCTGCTCTGGAAGGAACTGGTTTCTGCAGATGCTCCTCAGACCTTGTTAGGGATATATTGACCACAAAGGACACTGTCCACACCCCCAAAATTATGGTTAGGCATAGATAATTAGGAAGGTAGTGTCTGCTGCTAGCTGAAGACTGAACTACAAGAGCCCGGATCATTGAAATTCTTTCTAAATGTACCAACGCAGAAGGCAGAGGCAAACAAGATCACAGGGAGTGGACAGCCAAGTGCTGACACACATGCTGTGAACACAGACATAGCTGGACTACAGAGGTAGAGCCTTGCATGTGTGTACACTCCAACTGACCTCTCTGGGATCAAGTCCTTCTCTTTCTTCCTTTCCATTAATTCTCCAAAGCCAAACAGCATGCCTCTATTCCCAAGAACCAGCTGCAACTGATCTTTGCCAGTCTTTTTATCTCTCTAGCCTCAGTATCATGTTCTGGAAAATGGCGGTAACTGACAGTTTGGGTCACACTCAAGTGTGGCATTGGCCACAAAAGTACTTTGTTAACTAGCAGGCAAAATGCTTCAGAGGAAGGAACCATCTGGGGAAGAGTCACTGTGTCAGCGTGCTTGATGGAACTGGAGGAGGGTGTGGGGTACCTCTGAACTCAGAAGCCCGCTGGGCAGCAGTGCCTGTCCCTCCCAACAGAAGCTATCCAAGGGAGGCAACAAGGAAAAACTGACCAGAGGCAGAAATAAAGATGGAGCAAAAGACCCTGCTATACCACCTTGCAGAACCTGTTTTCTTTCTCTGCCTTCGTTGCTAGCAAATTGGGACCCAGAGACAGACTACACTGGGCAAGCAAACAGCTTTGGACTCAAGAACTAAGGGTCTTTCCAAAGAAGCCAAGGGTTTCCTCTAGCTCTGGAAGCAAGGCTGGCCCAGCCCCCACTGTGCTGCCAGGGAAATTGAGAATGGGAGGAGGGAGCACTTCCCGAGGAGGGGGTAGACTGAAGGCCCGGCAGGAAGGCTTAGGCATTAGCAGTTGGTTAACCAGCACCTGGAAGGAGCTGCTTCTCCACACGGATGCACACCGGAAGACCACCGAGTCTGATGCTATCTCCCCAAGGGCTTGGGCATGACCTCTGGGCAGCAGAATTCTGGACAGAGAGAGGCAGTGCGGGCCTTTGGATTTCTGCCAGTAAGGAAAGAAGCAGGGGAGCCAGCCCTACCCATCTTGTTTCCCAGTTGCTTTTTGACTGAGCCAACGCTTGCCCACCTCTCAGTGTGTTGCCCCCAACTCGTTTGTTTTCAGGTTCGCTCTGAGTAAAAGCAGAGCGGCTCAGAACCACTTTGTGCAGGAAAATGCAGTGGAAGACGCTGGAGCCCTGGTGGACTGGAAACCGCTTAAACCCAGTCCCCAAACCGGGAAGAATCGTTGGGGCTGGGACCAGAGCAAGCTGCTTCTCTCTGCGAATCTTGTTGCTGCTTGGGAGGATTACCTCCAACTAGGATATTGACACAAAGAGAAGCTGATCGGCTTGCAGCCTGCTTCGGCGGCCTAAACAAACCTTCCCCTGCGGCCAGGCCACTCGACCCTTCGTGGAAGACACGAAGATTCTTGCCCCAGTTTGCCTTCCTTCTAGCCGGGTCTCTGCTGCCTTTGTTAAACAGGGGACCCATGACTACAGTAGATCCCGACTGGTTGAGGTTAAGCGAGCTTGCAGCCGGCTGCTAGCCACGGAGTTACTCCACGATCTCCAGTCCACAGAGACCCGAGCTGGGCACCCGAGAGCAGTCTGCCAAAGCCTGGCGCCTTCCCCTGGCCGATTCTACAGCCAACAGAAGGAAAACGCGATTCGTTCCACTTGGAATTTCCCTGAAATCTCCGAATCTAATCCAGCGTTAACTCGCCGTGAGAAGAGCGCTCATCTCACAGGAGGCTGTGTTAATGGGTGAACTGGCAGAATCCCTGCGGGTCAGCCAGCAGGGCCCTGCCGGTGCCCGAAATGACCCTGCCGGTCTCCTGCACCGCACAGGCTTTCAGAAGGAAGCCGCGCCTGCATGGGACTAATTAGCTTGCTTGCTTGCTTACTTTCCTACTTTCTCTTTTTCTTTTTCTTTTTCTTTCTAGGAGAGAAGCCTTCTCAAGGCAGGCACCCTACAGAGAACGACCCAATGGTGTCTTTAAAGGTCTCTGTCAGTACTGGCTAACGCATAAACTAAAGTGTAACTTAGGGACCCGGACTTCGTTGATTTTTTTTTAAATCCCCTCTCCTCGATCCAGAAGACGTTTGGAACCCCGGATCATGTGCACTTTCTTAACTCTCACTTCTTCACACATAAAGGGACCGGTCGGGGCCTCACTTTTCATTCTAAGCATCAGTCTTGGTCAGGTCCATAGCTGAAAAGGGCGCCAACAGAGTTGGGGTTTGGAACGCTCTCTGAGACTCTCACTGACCTCTATTAAAACTTCCTGCCCTCCAACTGGCCCAGTTCCTAGCCTTCTATGAGTATGAACCAGGGCTCTGAGAATTAGCTTCAGGAGACCAGGAAAGGCTACAGCTCGCTGCCTACACTACCTCGTTGCTGGAGGCGGGATTTACCATTCAGGCACTTCGGCCTTGGCGGCGGAAAGCATTCCGCGTTCGCTGCCTGAAAGTCTTGCACTTTGCAAAGTTGTCTACGCAGCTACAGAGGTCCCAAGCCCTCCAGAACTTATTACCTGCCCCGCAGTCCGGCACCCCCAACCCGACCCCGGCCGGAGAGTGAGAGAAGCGAGCTCGCCGCCTACTTACTATGCATGGATGCAAACGGGTCGTGCTTACAGTGTATTTCCATCGGGGCGCTCCAGACTGCAGGTCGGCCCACGCCGTTGCCTCTCCGCGCCAAAGGGCTGCTCAGGGAACCTAGGGACCCGCGCCACTAGGCCAGGCACCCTGTGAGGTGGGCTCAGAAAACACCTCTGCAGCCGTGGGGGTCCCTCTCCAAGCCTCCTGCGGAAGATCGCGGAGAGCTGAGCCGAGAGGCGGGAAACGGTGCTCAGGCAGTCGGTCTGGGAGCGGGCGCCCAACTGCAGCTAGTTTCGCTCCTCCGCGGGCTCAAGCGGCGGCTCCCGGCCCACACCCGAGAAGCAGAGGCCCAGGCGCCCGTGGCGTCGAGGGCATAGCGCAGGGGCCCACCTCCGGGACAGCTAGGGGCGCTCGGAGCCGGAGCAGAAGCCTGCAAGAGGCCGCGAGCACACGGCCCTTCGTCTCACTCCGGGGCTGCTTCGGTCACTCTGCTTCGAGGGTCTGTCCACCCCTCGGCCTCCGCCAGATCCTTCCTGTCTCCCGCTGCTCCGTGTCTCTGGGGCTGAACGTGCCCCTCCGTCTCTCTCCCGCCGGCTCTCCGACGTCTCCGACGAAGTTGCAGAGAACTCCCTCTCCGGCCGGGCAGGGGCCGCGGCGGATTCTAAGACGCTGCCGCTACTAAGGTTGGGAGCCCGGAGCGCCCCGAAACTGCAACCCTCGAAGCCCGGGACCCGCCGCCTTCAAAGTTCCCGCGGGCCCCGAAGCTCCCGGCTCATTCGCTCCTGGCTGTGCCCTCACGCTACCAACTCTTGGAGCCCGCTGCCCGCTCTTGGGGGTCCGGTTGGACTATCCCTGGCTTGCCTCTTCCGGGACAACCACCGCGTCTGCCGAGCGGTGAGCGAGGGGCGCAGGAGCGGATACGGGTCCCTGCCGCCGGGGCCGCCAGGGCTGTCGGTGCTGTGATGAAGCCCCTGCCGGCTCTAATGCCCGCGCTACTACCGCCGCCGCCGGCGCTAGCCCTTCGCCTGCTCGGCGCGCACAGTGCGCCACCGCGCCGCCCCGGAGCCGCTTTCAGGACCCGCTGCGTGTGGAC